TGTTGAAAAAAGGTATTTGCAATGAAGAAGTCATTGGTCTTGCAAAATTCTATCATGTGATCTCTGGCATCATTTCTATCATCAAGGCCATATTTCCCAACTACCCGTCCTTCTCTGTTTCCAACTTTTGCTTTCCAATTACCAGTAATTATCAATGCATCCTGATTGCATGTTTGATCAATTTCAGACTGCAGAAGTTTGTATAAACCTTTAATTTCTTCATCTTTGGCCTTAGTGGTTGGTGTGTAGATTTGAATAATACTCATTATTAACTGGTCTTCCTTGTAGGCGTATGGGTGTTATCTTGTCACAGCACTGTACTTCAGGATAGATCTTGAAATGTTCTTTTTGACAGTGAATGCAATGTCATTCCTCTTCAAGTTGTCATTCCCAGCATAGTAGTCTATATGATTATCCGATTCAAAATGGCCAATAACAGTCCATTTCAGCTCACTAGCTCACTAGTGCCTAGGATATGGATGTTTATGCTTCCCATTTCGTTTTTGACAATTTCCAATTTCCCTAGATTTATACCTCGTACATTCCATGTTCCTATTATTAATGGATGTTTGAAGCTGTTTCTTCTCATTTTGAGTCATGCCACATCAGCAGATGAAGGTCCCGAAAGCTTGACTCCATCCATATCATTAAGGTCGACTCTACTTTGAGGAGGCAACTCTTCCCCGGTTGTATTTTAAGTACCTTCCAACCTGAGGGGCTCATCTTCCAGCACTATATCAGACAATGTTCCATTGCTATTCGTAAGGTTTCCACGTATCTGTCAATTTGTTCTACTGTGGGACTTGTGTGTTGCTGTAATGTTGGAAGCTATGCCACTGATATTCAAATATCAGCAGGGTCACCCATAGTGGACAGGTTTCAGCTGAATTTCCAGACTAAGACAGAGTAGGAAGAAGGACCTAGCAGTCTACTTCTGAAAAAGAAATCTAGCCAGTGAAAACCTTATGAATAGCAGCTGGCTCTCATTAGAACTGTAATAATATGAAATTTCCTCTCAAACTACAAACAAAGAAACAGGGCATGCTCACCAACTGCCATTGTGTAAGTATTTATTTTTCAAGACTATAAAAAATATTGTCACAAGAGGTATTGTTTCAGTAATTACATTAAGATTCTTCTATAAAATTTATTATCAGTTTGCATATTTCACGTAAACAGAGCTGTCATTATCACTGGAAGCTCTTTATTAAAAATATAAGGTGCCTAATTATAAGTGAGTGCTGGTGGTGCAGTGGTTAAGAGCTGGGCTGCTAACCAAAAGGTTGGCGGTTCGAATCCACCAGCCATTCTTTGGAAACCCTATGGGGTAGTTCTACTCTGTCGACTCCACAGCAATAAGTTTGGTTTTTTGGTTTGGTTAGTTATAAGTGGAAAATATTTTCTCCCTTTCTAAGCAAAGGAGAGAGAATCAAGGAAGGTGCTAACACAGTACAGCTATGTAACAATACCTGTCCACAGGTACCAGATCAACAGCACCTTTTATACCCTGTCCGTGGTCCTGAAGAATATTATGCCACCTCCACCTGAAGATGAAAAGTAAAAATGCAACCATCCAGCCAGCAGCTACATTTCCATGGCCCCGTCTGGGTTTTAAACACTTCAAATGCAAAGGCAGGGCAATAACTTATTATCCGGGAAAACTTGTAAAACTTCCCAGCTTGTGGAGTTTTAGTACAGCACATAAGACAGTTGGAAGCATGAAGATGAACATTTCTGGAGCAACTAGAGCTGACTCAGGGGATGTGGGCATGTGAAAGTCTTGTCTCCAGGCAAAACTTACTACTCTGTTCCGCTCCCCACTTCCCGGTTATAGAGAGAGATTTTAGAAATAAAACCTGGTGTGTAAATAAACCAGCAAGCTGCCAAGCATTTCAAATATGGCCCCGGACTTTGACACTCAGAGTACTTATAGGAATGTTAAGAGGAATATTTAGCCCCCATTGTAAACTTAGAGCTGTAAACCTCCTAAACAGTAGGAGAATTTCATGGACACACGGGAAGCTACTCTAGGAAGCAACATGATTGACTTCTCAGCCAGTGAGAAAGCAAGGAGAATCCGTTCCAGAGGGGCATGCAGTTGAGACCACTCACTTCCTGCTGGTCAACACTTAAAGTTCATAGCCTTCACCAAGTAGAAATACTGTCCACAGGTCCCTAGGTATTCAATAGCTACATTTGCACAACTCTTCCATGAGCCTACTGCACATGCCATAGCTACTCACCTTTCAGAATTTAGGAAATACATTCAGAGAAGACAAGGCTGTAGAAACAGAAAGTAATTTCAATACTGCACAAAGCTTCAGTATTTCTCAATGAAATGTTCTTTTTGCAAGGGTGTAGTGGAGTTTAGAGTCTAACATGAACCCAATCCAGGTGTTTTCTTTTAGAAAATTAAGAATTGTAGGAAAGAAAGTGCTTATAAACAGCAACTTTAGTCTTGACCTTTCAATAGCATGATTAGCCTGGGAAATTGGTCCAGGAGCAACTCTAAAGAAGCGTAACTGTTTCAGAGAAGGTGATGATTAAGGCTGTAATAGTGCATCCGAATGAACTTTGTTGGCTGGATCCAAGCTATAAAATATCCCTAGAAACAAATGTAAAGAAAAACTTCTCTGGAATATGCAAAGGCAGCTTTAAAAACATTTTATTAAAAATGGATATTTTTTTCCCCCACTTTAGGGAGTTTGCAGATTCGGTACAAGCTAGATATGCATCAAGATCCTGATGTTTTTATCTTTAACTTCAAAAACATGGCTGATGGCCACCTTCACCACGTGAAGATCGACAGAGAAGAAGGAGTGGTCTTTGTAGAGGTAATGCGTGCTCAGCCAGACCATGACTGCAGCTACAGTTTCCCAACAGGAAAGACCTGAAGCAGGAGGTTATCCGTGAAGCACAGTGGAACAGGCTCCTTCTGAATGCTATTTCTTCATGTGCCTCAGATAAGAAGTCCAGTCTAGTCCAGTATTTTGTGTTTATTTATTTAATAATGGAATTTGCCAAATATAGCATAAATATTTGACTACTTCAATTTTTCCTCATTTATCTTAATTTACTTGTTCTGGAAATGTCTATTTTATCATGTATTACTGGCAGAAACTTTTAAATGTTTCACCAATAGGAATCTATTCCATGCAATTTACAAGACTACAAATGTTATGTCAATTTAAAGACACGGTTTATATAAAATATGATTATGATTAACATTTTCATAACTAAAAAATAGATGTGAGTCAATGTAGAGTAAGTGAAATTATTCAGTCAGTGCTTTTGAAGACATGTATGAGTGTTTTCACTCTCTACATGGAATAACATTTCTTGGCTTCACATTTCAAGTTTTGTTTTGAGATATGTATAAGCTTGAGGCTTGCAAAAGCCTCTTACATATTTTTACAATCATAGATAATTTATATTATTTAGGGAATATAATAAACTGTGAAGACAAATACAACAAGGTAAAGAACTAGGGTATGGGGTGAAGGGTATCTGAGATGTTATAGAAATAGTTTATGAACTAGTATTCATAGCCATGGATTCCTGAATGTGAGGCTGTTTAATCATATGTAGCACTGACACTTTTTTATCATTTTGTTGTATCCTCTTCCTTTGATTCCCACATGTTACAACAAATGGCATCCTCTTGGTGTTTGCTTCTACCGGGGTAGGTGAACCAGAAAACTAGGAGACAAATGAGCCTGTCCTCAGGCACAGAGTTCCACGCCATCAAGTCCCTGGTGTTGGGCAGGATTTTAGGTAAGTAAAAGCAGACTCAGGAGCCCTGGTGGTGCAGTGGTTAAAGCCCTCAGCTGCTAACCGAAAGGCTGGCGGCTCTAACCTGACAGTCACTCCACTGGAGAAAGATGTGGCAGCTTCCTTCTGTAAAGATTTACAGCATTGGAAACCCTCTGGGTCAGTTCTACTCTGTCCTATGGGGTCACCATGAGTCGTAATCAACTCGACAGCAGCGGGTGGATGTAGATGCATACTCCCCTCCCAGACGTGGATCCAATGTGTGCCATTCACACAAGCAAGTTCCCTGTTTTATTTTAATTACACCATTAGTGCCAATCAAGGCAGAACACGTACTTTTGTCTGAGTGTACATATAATCATGAGAAAAACGTTTCCTGCAGATAAGATCATGTACTCTGCTAAAAATAATTCCAAGTTTCTCTCTCTCTCATTTGGCAATCAAGCACAATGAACTGGGTGATTTTCTTAACGCCACATAGAAGAATCATGATCAAAGCTGACACGAGGTTCACAGATTGTGGATTAAACAGCTGCTGATCCAGAAGCCTCACCAGGATGACATCTGAAGGGGGATTTATCCACACGTGGAAGTTGTCTTTCAGCTGATGGCCATACTTTGGATTCAGCAAGCCTCCTTTGCTTTGTGTCGTGCTTTGCTGGGGATAGTTTGGTGGCCAGTGACTGCTTTTTGCATAAAGATAACTAAACGTAACTCGGTCTCATTTACACCTGCCCGTTACCACTGATCAGGCCGCCCTGCTAGACACGGTGATGAGGAAGCGTCACAAGAAAGTGAGGTGTGGGCAAATACTCAAGGATAGTGGACGGTCCCCAAGACTGCAAGGAGGAGTTATGGCGGGTGGCCTGCAAGAAGAGGAAGAAGACCAGTAGGTTGAGGGTTGACCAGGGATGGAAGGGGGCGAGGGATGGGGACCAGTCACAGAGGACCTCATAGACACATTGTGTTTGTTAGGTGCCATCAGTTCAGTTCTGACTCATAGCAACTCTATGTACAACAGAATGACACACTGCCTGGTCCGTGCCATTCTTGCAATCTTTGCTATGTTTGAGCCCACTGTTGCAGCTACAGTGTAAATCCATCTCGTTGAGAGTCTTCCTCTTTTTTGCTGACCCTCTACTTTAGCAAATATGACGTCTTCCTCCAGGGAATGATCTCTCCTAATAACATGTCCAAAATACATAAGACACAGTCTTGCCGTCCTCACTTCTAAGGAGCATTCTGACTGCAAGTCTTCTAAGACAGGTTTTTTTGTTCTTCTGGCAGTCCATGGTATTTTCAATATTCTTTACCAACACCGCAATTCAAAGGCATCAATTCTTCTTTGGGCTTCCTTGTTCATTGCCAGCTTTCCTATGCATACGAGATGATTGAAAATGCTATGGCTTGGGTGAGTCACACCTTAGTTCTCAAAGTGACATCTTTGTTTTTAAACGCTTTATAGAGGTCTTTTGCAGAGATTTGCCCAATGCAATAAATCCTTTGATTTCTTGACTGCTGCTTCCATGGGCATTAATTGTGGATCCAAGTAAAATGAAATCCTTGACAACTTCAATCTTTTCTCCATTTATCATGATGTTGTTTATTGATCCAGTTGTGAGGATTTTTGTTTTCTTTAGGTTGAAGTGTAATCCATACTGAAGGCTGTAGTCTTTGATCTTCATGTGTGAGTGCTTCAAGTCCTCTTCACTTTCAGCATGCAATGTGTGTCATCTGCATAATGCAGGTTGTTAATAAGTTGTCCTCCAATCCTGACGTCCCCCTCTTCTTCATATAGTCCAGCTTCATGAATTATTTGCTCAGCATACAGACTGAATAAGTATGGTGAAAGATACAATCTTGATGCATCCCTTTCCTGACTTTAAACCACCCGGTATCTCCTTGTTCTGTTGGAATGACAGCCTCTTGATCTATGTACAGGTTCCTCATGAGCACAATTAAGTGTGCTGGGATTTCCATTCTTCACAACATTATCCATAATTTGTTATGATACACACAGTTGAATACCTTTGCAGAGTGAATAAAACACAAGTAAACATCTTTCCAGTATTCTCTGCTTTAAGCCAGGATCCATCTGACATGATATCCTTCATTCCATGTCCTCTTCTGAATCCGTCTTGAATTTTTAGTAGTTCCCCGTTGATGTATTGCTGCAGCCACTTTTGAATGATCTTCAGAAAACTTTTCTTGAGTGTCATATTAATGATAGTGTTCAATAATTTCTGCATTTGGTTGGATCACCTTTCTTTGGAAGAAGCATAAATATGGATCTCTTCCAGTTAGTTGGCCAGGTAGCTGTCTTCCAAATTTTTTGGCATAGATGAGTGTGCATTTCCTGTGCTGCATCCATTTGTTGAAGCATCTCAATTGGTGTTCCATCAATTCCTGGAGGCTTGTTTTTTCTGAATGCTTTCAGTGCAGCTTGGACTTCTTCCTTCAGTACCATTGATTCTTGATCATATGCTACCTCCTGAAATAACTGAACATCAACCAGTTCTTTTTGATACAGTGACCCTGTGTATCCCTTCCATCTTCTTTTGGTGCTTCTTGTGTC